TCTTCTGAAACTATTCCAAATAATCCAAAAAGAAGGAATCCTACCCAAATCATTCTATGAGTCCAATATCATCCTGATACCAAAACCCGGCAGAGACCCAACGAGAAAAGAAAACTTCAGGCCAATATCCATGATGAACATAGATGCAAAAATCTTCAATAAAATATTGGCAAGCCGATTGCAACAGCAAATCAAAAAACTTATTCATCATGATCAAGTAGGATTCATCCCAGGGATGCAAGGCTGGTTCAACATACGCAAGTCTAAAACGTAATTCACCACATAAACAGAACCAAAAACAAAAACCACATGATTATCTCAATTGACGCAGAGAAGGCATTTGACAAAATTCAACAGCCCTTTATGCTAAAAACCCTCAATAAACTCGGTATCGATGGAACGTATCTCAAAGTAATAAAAGCTATTTATGACAAACCAACAGCCAATATCATACTGAATGGGCAAAAACTGGAAGCATTCCCTTTGAAATCCGGCATTAGACAAGGATGCCCTCTGTCACCACTCCTATTCAATATAGTACTGGAAGTTCTAGCCAGAGCAATCAGGCAAGAAAAAGAAATAAAGGGTATTCACATAGGAAAGGTGGAAGCCAAATTGTCTCTATTTGCAGACGACATGATAATATACCTGGAAGACCCCATCACCTCATCCCAAAAACTCCTGAAACTGATAAGCAACTTCAGCAAAGTCTCAGGATATAAAATCAATGTGCAAAAATCACAAGCCTTCCTCTACACCAATAACAGACTAAAAGAGAGCCAAATCAAGAACGAACTGCCATTCACAATTGCTACGAAAAGAATAAAATACCTTGGAATACAACTCACAAGGAACGTAAGGGACCTCTTCAGGAAAAACTACAAACCACTGCTCAACGAAATCAGAGAGGACACAAACAGATGGAGAAACATTCCATGTTCATGGTTAGGAAGAATTAATATCGTGAAAATGGCTATACTGCCCAAAGTAATTTACAGAATCAACGCTATCCCCATCAAGCTACCATTGACTTTCTTCACAGAACTGGAAAAAACCACCTTGAACTTCATATGGAACCAAAAGAGAGCCTGCATAGCCAAGTCAATTCTAAGCAAAAAGAACACAGCGGGGGGCATCACACTACCGGATTTCAAACTATACTATAAGGCTACAGTAATCAAAACAGCATGGTACTGGTACCAAAACAGAGATATAGATCAATGGAACAGAACAGAGGCATCAGAGGCAACACAACATAGCTACAACCATACAATCTTTGATAAACCTGACAAAAACAAGCAATGGGGAAAGGATTCCCTGTTCAACAAATGATGTTGGGAAAACTGGCTAGCCATGTGTAGAAAGCGGAAACTGAACCCCTTCCTGACACCTTACACCAAAATTAACTCCAGATGGATTAAAGACTTAAACATAAGACCCGGCACCATAAAAACCCTAGAAGGAAATCTAGGCAAAACCATCCAGGACATAGGAGTAGGCAAGGACTTCATGAACAAAACACCAAAAGCATTGGCAACAAAAGCCAAAATAGACAAATGGGACCTAATGAAACTCCACAGCTTCTGCACAGCAAAAGAAACAGTCTCTAGTGTGAATCGGCAACCAACAGAATGGGAAAAAATTTTTGCAGTTTACCCATCTGACAAAGGGCTGATATCCAGAATTTACAAAGAACTCAAACAGATTTACAGGAAAAAAACAAACAAGCCCATTCAAAAGTGGTCAAAGGATATGAACAGACACTTTACGAAAGAAGACATATATGAGGCCAACAATCATATGACAAAATGCTCATCATCACTGGTCATCAGAGAGATGCAAATCAAAACCACATTGAGATACCATCTCACGCCAGTTAGAATGGCGATCATTAAAAAATCTGGAGACAACAGATGCTGGAGAGGATGTGGAGAAAAAGAACACTTTTACACTGTTGGTGGGAGTGTAAATTAGTCCAACCATTGTGGAAGATGGTGTGGCGATTCCTCAAGGCCTTAGAAATAGAAATCCCATTTGACCCAGCAATCCCATTACTGGGTATATATCCAAAGGACTATAAATCGTTCTACTACAAGGACACATGCACATGAATGTTCATTGCAGCACTGTTTACAATAGCAAAGACCTGGAATCAACCCAAATACCCATCGATGATAGACTGGATTGGGAAAATGTGGCACATATACACCATGGAATATTATGCAGCAATCAGAAATGATGAGTTCATGTCATTTATAGGGACATGGATGAATCTGGAGAACATCATTCTCAGCAAACTGACACAAGAACAGAAAATGAAACACCGTATATTCTCACTCATAGGTGGGTGATGAAAAATGGGAACACATGGACACAGAGAGGGGAGTACTAATCTCTGGGGTCTATAGGGGCGAAAGGAGAGGGCCAGTGGGAGGGGGAGGTGGGGAGGGATTGCCAGGGGAGAAATACCAAATGTGGGTGAAGGGGAGAAACCAAACAAAACACACTGCCATGTGTGTACCTATGCAACTGTATTGCATGCTCTGCACATGTACCCCAAAACCTAAAATGCAATAAAAAAAAATATATAATCTGTCAGAAAAAATAAAAAAAAAGAAAATGTGGCACATATACACCATGGAATACTACACAGCCATAAAAAATTATGAGTTCGTGTCCTTCATAGCGACATGGATGAATCTGGAAACCATCATTATCAGCAAACTGACACAAGAACAGAAAACCAAACACTGTATGTTATCACTCATAGCTGGGTGTTGAACAATTAGAACACATGGACAAAGGGAGGGGAGCATCACACACCGCAGTCAATTGGAGGGGGCTAAGGGAGGGACAGTAAGGGGAGGATGGGGAGGGATAATGAGGGGAGAAATACCAGATATAAGTGATGGGGGAATGAAGGCAGCAAACCACCTTGCCATGTATGTACTTATGCAACAATCCTGCATGATCTGCACATGTACCGCAGAACATAAATTACAATAGAAAACAAAACCTCTTTGTAATATTCAAATTAATTAGCACTTTCTCCATTTCCCTTGGGGGCTTGTCTTTTGGGGAATGAATCCAACGACTCAGTTTTCCCAGGCTGCCAGCAGGTGTCACTGTTGAAAGTAGGCGGTCACCCTGTGTGATGCCATTCCTACTGCCATGATGTGGAGACACCAGGTTATGGGGGGAAGCTGTGGCTTCTAAGGGCTTAGACGAAACCAAGAGAATGAGCTGGTACTTGTTACATTTGCATCGCCACAGAGCTCTTATTCTTAAATCTTGTGCTCAGAACTGGAGACACTGGGTCTGAAGACTTTTCTTAGGCTCAGGTGTATGCTATTTCTGGGCTTTGATTTTGACTTTTCATCCCTGGTTCTCCTTCTGTCACCTGTCACAGTCTGTCTTGAGCTAAATTTTTAAATTTTTTGTAGAGATGAGGTCTCACTATGTTGCCCAGGCTGGTTTTGAACTACTGGGTTTGTCAAGTCTTATTCCCTTTGCTCCACATAAACCCCTTTGAGTGTTAAAAATGCACATTAAGTTCTAACCTTCCCCTGCTATTTGTCTCCCATCCACAGAATTAAAAGAGAATACTTAAGTAATTCTTTACAGAACCCAGAAAGTTTGTCCAAAATGACTTTGGTCTCTCCCGGAAGAGAAAGAAGTTGCTGGAAACTTTTCAGTAGCAATGTCTTTTGCTATTTCTACCCTTTTGGCAAATATGTATAAAGATTTCTTTAGATATATACATATATATGATCTGATCTTATCTCATTCATACCATACATCATTATTTTATCTAATCTCATTCACAATATTACTACGACTATGCTTTGAGATGAAAAGAGATATTTTTTGTTGTTCCTCTTTCACTTCTTCAAGAAGAGCTACTAGCCAGACATGATGGGGCATGCGCCTGTAGTCCCAGCTACTCGGGAGGCTGAGACTGGAGCATTGCTTGAGTTTGGAAGTTCAGTGCTGTAGTGAGCTATGATCATGCCACTGCATTGCTGCTTGGGTGGCAGAGCAAGACTTTGTCTCTTAAAAAAAAAAAAAAAGAAGTAGAACTACTAAGTGAGGTTCAGCCAGGACTAGCTACGTATTTTCATGAGGCCCAGTACAAAACGAAAATGTAGAGCCCCTTGTTAGAAAGTTATTATGAATTTCAAGAGGTCTCCTAAGAGCATTAAATTAAGCATGGCTTCTTCAGAGCTCAGCTCCCTGTATGACTGCACAATCTGCATGCCTATGCAGTGGTCCTAGGCAGAGCTGACCGAGATCACACAGAACACTCTAATTTTTATTCACGAAGGACCTGGGTTTCTTCTAATGACCAGGGTTATATTTAATCTACATCTGGGGTATCTTGCCTCCCAAGGCTGTGCCATCACCAGACATGAACTTTCACATTTCAAAAGAACAGACAAAAAGGTAGGCCTTTAAACATATGAGTAGCTTTAAACCAGTGGCATCTGAGAAGATTTTGACATAATCATGTGAATTATTTACAAAGATAATAATTATGCTCAGTTTCTCCAGATCTAAGAGGATTAAGAGATATGTAATTTTAATTACAGTTATGCAAAGAAAAAGGAGGAAGGCAAAGGGAAAGCCTCAGTGACTAGAATTTGAGACAAAATATACACTGACTAGCTCAGATCTTTCTGAAATGATGGACACTTATGTTATTTTTTCTGCTTGAATCAGAGATCCCATCCATGTGTGGTTGAAATCAGGCTCCTTAGGACCCTCCATAACTCAAGGGCTCAGATTTGTTTTCACAGCCTTTATGTAATAGCACACCTAAAGCCTTAAATGCTGTAGGTGATAAAAACTTAGGTAAGCGGAGACTCCTGGGAGGATGAAGGAGCGATTTAAGCTGATTGAGCTGTTAAACTTTTGAACAACAAAGAGTTTGTTTTTGTTTCTGTTTTTTTCACTTTCAGATTCAATCCCCTTAAGACTAATTGTTAAGTTATAAATCTGAGTCTTCCGGTTCCATATAAACATTCAGAGTATTCAGAGAAGCAAAGAAAAAATTCCTCCAGTAAAGAGTTAACAATGGAATCTTCTGCAATGCGACAGGTATGTGGACGATGTAGGATATGAAACAAAGATCTGTGTTTTCTCTTCCTTGAGGTTTTCTTAAGAAATAAATTGCCACCCTAAAAATGCAGTAGATTGCTGGTGCATCGGGTCTTCCTTTTTGAATTTTGGTCATGTTTACAGAGAATGTATAGGCATGTGGAAGATGGGAGAAGTTGCAGGACTTAATATGAATTTGTAATAAAAGGCAGTCATTTGATTATGTGAATGAAATAACATGCTGCCTTCTGGAAGAGTAACATGTTTGCTGGGAAGAATACTTAGAATCCTGGAAAGGTTACCTCCCTGTAAGTGGCTGAACAAATTATTTATCACTGTCTTAAGTTTTTAAACTGTCTTAAGTATTATCAAGAGAGTTACCTGGCCTTTTCCTTACAATCCCATTTCTTCTCTTTCTTAGGAGAAAACTTTTCTAGTCAAATGTATCCTTGAATGTGGTGATTATTAGCAACAGGAAGGAAAAAAGAAAGGAAGGAAAGAGGGAGGGAAAGTAGTTTTGATAGTGCGCTATGTATCGGACATTATGCTAAGGTTATTCATAAGGCTATTCGTATTATATGTTACACTATTCATTTAATATGTTAAGAGTCATTAACATTAAATATTTGATAGAAATTGAACAATTGAAAGAATCAATAGTTTGGGTAAGGGCAAAATAATTCAAGGAAATGAGAAATAATGATTACCTGGCAGAAAGACATAGTGAAGTCCATTAAGCCTTAAAAGTGGTTACTAAAGCAGAGGAATATTTATTTACTAATGAAGCATTAATCAAATGTAAAGACAAGGCAAAATTAAAAGCCATCACATTAGAAATATCAGAAAATTTTTCTTCCTTCTCCCTACCCCTAAAAAGAGAAAATAATAATAATAATAAATCAGAAAAAATAGAAAATTCTTAATCATTGTGGTCATGGTCCTGCAGTTTGATCACTTTCTCAGGCAATATAGAAAACACTTTTATTTTAACAATTTAGTAGAAGAAAGTTTATGCTTTATTCATAAGTGGAATGGGCAAATGATTCATTATATTACAAATATTCATTTTTTATGTCTGAGTTTCTTTTAGAAACTTAACAGTAATGGCAAAAAGATCTGAATTTCCCTTTAACTCTATGACAATCCATCCACGTATCTAAGGATACTTATGTTAACAGGTTTAAAAAAATAGAAAAAGTGACCCTTGAAAACTATAGCCTTTAAAATACTACTTTTGCATTTAGCTTTCCATAGATATGAAAGATATGCTTCTTGAAAGGTTTAAACTGATTATAGATGTCACATGCAAGAACTATGTCAAATAAATTATGGGGGCTGTAATATTTCAATGGAATTGAAATTATTATTTGATGAATTCATAAATAATCATCTGATATACCTCTCTATACTTTGTGGCATGCGTATGAGGAATTCCTGTGTGAATGTAGACAACCTATTATGTGTTTCAAAGAACTTCAGTACTAAGATAATTGTGTAATTAAAGTTTCTGACTGTTAAAAGGAAAATTAGTCAAGCCCTGCAGTCTATGATTTTAGACTTAGAAGGATTCAGCATGATTTTAACAACAGTGGGATGGCAGGATGATTAACAATATCGAAGTCATTAAGCCAGGAACACAAAGAAGTTTGCAAACAGTTGAATCTTAAAATATACTGTAGTTGGAACAGGAAACCAAACACCATAGGTTCTCATTTATAAGTGGGATCTGAACAAGGAGAACACATGGACACAGGGAGGGGAACATCACACACCAGGGCCTGTCGGCAGTGGGGGAGGGGGGTGGTGGGAGGCAGGGGGAGGAAGAACATTAGGACGAATACCTAATGTATGCAGGGCTTAAAGCCTAGATGATGGGTTGATGGGTGCAGCAAACCACCACGGCACATGTACACCTATGTAACAAACCTGTATGTTCTGCACATGTATCTTAGAACTTAAAAGAAAGAAAATGCTATTGTAAAAATGCCTTTAGCACTAGAATGTTGTATGTGTGTTAAAAGGACATTATTTGTTACTTGTTATTTCTTTTAGCTTCACTTTGTAAACAGTAAAGTGATTTTAAAATAAACCAACAACATTTGCTTTGGATCTCCTATGCTTTTCAATGAGCATACTGAAGGTGATCAGAAATCCTTTTCTCTTTTTGATAATACTGCATTTTCTCTCAGTATTTTCTTCTGTGGTGTTGCCTAACTGGTCAGTAGGTCGCTAACAAAAAGGACAAGTAGCTAAAAAATGTAGTACTGAGGGAGGAAAATCTCTCACTTCTCTTTTTTTTCTCTCTCTGTTTTCTTTTCTTCTCTTTCCTTTTTTTCTGTGACAATGTTAGGAAGAGCAAAACGCTATATGCATATATTAGAAACCCCTATTTTTTAATGTGTCTTTTTAAAATTTTTATTTTCTTGTTTTTTAACTTTTATTTTAAGTTGGGGGGTAATGCGAAGGTTTGTTACATAGGTAAACTCGTGTCATTGGGGTTCGTTGTACAGATGATTTCATCACCCAGGTATTAAGCTCAGTACCCAACAATTATCTTTCCTGCTCCTCTCCCTCCTCCTGTCCTCCCCATTAAGTAGACCCCAGTCTGTCCTTTCCTTCTTTGTGTTCATAAGTTCTCATCGTTTAGCTTCCACATATAAGTGAGAGCATGCAATATTTGGTTAGACACCCCAATTTTAGCTGCTAAAAATGAATATAGTTAAAGCAATGGTTGTACACATTTTAGACAGATCCGGATAAAACTGTTCTGATGAAACTCTTTCATGAATACGTCAGCTGTCTCTGTAAACAGCATTTAGGGTGTGGGCAGAGACCTCAAATGCATTTTGGAAGTGTTTCTATTTTGTGGTATGCAATCACCTAGGTAAGAGGTATGAAGATCTTTAGTTCTATTGCTCAAATATGTCCCATCACACATCAGACCCTTTGTTCTCCGCATGTGGGGACGAGGCCTGCAAGGAGGAAGAATAAAGAAGAGAAAACTGCCTTGGACTCGCCACTTGGCATTGGTTGGAGAAAGCTTTTATTTTCAAATCTGTACTCACTCTCTTTTAGCTCACTTGATTACTTTAATTTAAAAAATCATTACCCAAATTTAAGAACAAAGTGGGAAATCTCTTTTGACTAATGTTGGCTAAGAACACTTTTCCTATCGAGGAATGATAATGAAACTAGAAAGGCTTTCTTCTCTCATTCTATTCTCCCCTCCCCATATTTTCTCTGCTGTGTTTTAGGGGTCCCTGAGAATTCCTTCTAGAAGGTCTGAGAACACATACAGTTGTATATCTTTTCTTTATCCTACGTTCCATGTATAACAGGACTTTTCTCTTCTGTTCAAATTCTACTCACCCATTGAGACCCAGATCAAAAGTCACATCCTTGCTGCAACATTCCTGCAACATTCCTGTGTAGCCCAACCTAAAACTATCTTGTCCATTTTTGAACTTTGATTGTACATTTTGCCTGGATCTCTTTTTGGTCAGGTAATCACCATTGCTGCTTTCATCTGCAGTACAGAATCATTTAGGTTCTTTTTTTTTTTTTTTTTTTTTTTGAGACAGAGTCTCACTCTGCTGTCCAGGCTGGAGTGCAGTGGCACAATCTCGGCTCATTGCAACCTCCGCCTCTCGGGTTCAAGCGATTCTCCTGCCTCAGCTTCCCGAGTAGCTGGTACTACAGGCACCCACCACCACATTTGGCTAATTTTTGTGTTTTTAGTAGAGACAAGATTTCACCATCTTGGCCAGGCTGATCTTGAACTCTTGACCTTGTGATCCACCCACCTCGGCCTCCCAAAGTGCTGGGATTACAGGCATGATCCACCGTGCTTGGCCAGAATCATTTAGGTTTTAAGTGTTGATGGGCTTTGTCTCTTCAGCTGCATTGTAGAATCTCTGCTGCCAGGGTTTATCTTCGTGCTTTCCTCTTCCTTCCCTTGTATCTTGCATATTGTGGGCATTCAAGAAAAATGTCTTGCTCTATTTGTGATGTGCTCTTATATTATAAGGGTTGAGGATTTATAGGTTTATCTCTTGGTAACTGATAAGGTCTGATATGTGTGAGGTCACTGAAGGCCAAAGGCATTTCTGCAATATTGAGTTATGCTTTGCATATAGACAGCTCTTTTTTTCTTAATGTACCTTTTAAAAAGAAAGTCATTCTAATTTACGAACATGTTACATTTCAAATATATATTAAAGAATAACATGCAGATTTTAATATGCAAAATGAGCATTCTGGGCCAACTCATGGAGGGCATATGCTTAATTTTCTTGTGGCGGAGATGGCTTGCTTTTTAAAAGCTCTCTAGCCCTCTGCTCATTTGTGTGGCCTACGCATGGAAAGTTGTCAGGCTGTCATTGCACCGGCCTCTGAGAAGGTGCACTTGCTGGTCACAAAGAACTGAGGGTTTGTCCAGCTTTGGCAGATTTGGTCTCCGCCCACCTCTGACTTAGCTGCTCTGGCTGATGCGATGCTTGTTAGGACTTCACGATTTGCTGAAGAGATTGACTCTACCAGATAATTAGGGGTTATTAAATGTTTCTTCCCCCTTAAAACAACATTGGCATGAATAAAACAAACAAAGCACAGTGAAAATAATAGAACACATGAATGAAACTATTTTCAAATAATAATGTCCTGATCTCATAGATAATAGATCACAATCAAATCAAATCTGATTATATATTTCCAACTCCTTGGAGGAAGAAGTGCATGTGTTGTCTGATAAATATCTATTCTTCCCCCACACAGGAAGATTAATAAGAGTTAGCTCAATCATTTGTTTTTTTCTTCTTTTAAATTTCAAAGTCTGGCATAAAGTAAGTTTCCTGCTGGGCGCGGTGGCTCAAGCCTGTAATCCCAGCACTTTGGGAGGCCGAGGTGGGTGGAACATGAGGTCAAGAGATCAAGACCATCCTGGTCAACATAGTGAAACCCCGTCTCTACTAAAAATACAAAAATTAGCTGGGCATGGTGGCGCGTGCCTGTAATCCCAGCTACTCAGGAGGCTGAGGCAGGAGAATTGCCTGAACCCGGGAGGCGGAGGTTGCGGTGAGCCGAGATCCTGCCATTGCACTCCAGCCTGGGTAACAAGACTAAAACTCTGTCTCAAAAAAAAAAAGAGTTTCCTAAATGTTGGTAGTATAGAGGAAAGTATGGAGTAAATAATGTTTTGTTTTGTTTTTTAATTGACATGGAGTCTCACTCTGTCTCCCAAGCTGGAGTGCAGTGGCAAGATCTTGGCTCACTGCACACTTCAGCCCCTGGGTTCCAGCAATTCTCCTGCCTCAGCCTGCTGATCATCCTGGCTAATTTTTGTATTTTCAGTAGAGATGGGGTTTCACCATGTTGGCCAGGCTGGTCACCAACTCCTGACCTTAGGTGATCCACCTGCCTCAGCCTCCCAAAGTTCTGGGATTACAGGCTTAAGCCACCGTGCCTGGCTAACAATGATCTTTTAAGCCAATTAGTTCAGAATTCTTAAAAATTACAAATAAAGGTTAAAATAAATGAATGGTAAAGATCATGAGTAATATTGCAGCGTAAATTATCTTCCTGGATTCTTCTCTGCCTTTCTTGAGTTTTTCCATGAAAGCATATATAAAACATAGAATATTTTATTTATATTCTGACAAAATTCTACCTGTTCTTTCTTTTGAAGGAAACGTTCGATTGCTCTGAATATGGAAATAGATCTTGCTCAGAAAATGAAAGGTCTCTGGGTGTTCGAGTGGCCATGTATTCGCTTATGGCAGGAGCCATATTCATCACAATATTTGGCAATCTTGCCATGATAATTTCCATTTACTACTTCAAGCAGCTTCACACACCAACCAACTTCCTCATCCTCTCCATGGCCATCACCGATTTCCTCCTGGGATTCACTATCATGCCATATAGTATGATCAGATCTGTGGAGAACTGCTGGTATTTTGGGCTTACATTTTGCAAGATTCATTATAGTTTTGACCTGATGCTTAGCATAACGTCCATTTTCCATCTTTGCTCAGTGGCCATTGATAGATTTTATGCTATCTGTTACCCATTACGCTATTCCATCAAAATAACTATTCCAGTCATTAAAAGACTGCTACTTCTCTGCTGGTCGGTCCCTGGAGCATTTGCCTTTGGGGTGGTCTTCTCAGAGGCCTATGCAGATGGAATAGAGGGCTATGACATCTTGGTTGCTTGTTCCAGTTCCTGCCCAGTGATGTTCAACAAGCTATGGGGGACTACCTTGTTTATGGCAGGTTTCTTCACTCCTGGGTCTGTGATGGTGGGGCTTTATGGCAAAATTTTTGCAGTATCCAGGAAACATGCTCATGTCATCAATAACTTGCCAGAAAATCAAAATAATCAAGTGAAGAAAGACACAAGAGCTGCCAAAACTTTAGGAATAGTGATGGGTGTTTTCTTATTATGTTGGTTTCCTTGTTTCTTCACAATTTTATTGGATCCCTTTTTGAACTTCTCTACTCCTGTAGTTTTGTTTGATGCCTTGACATGGTTTGGTTATTTTAACTCCACATGTAATCCCTTAATATATGGCTTCTTCTATCCCTGGTTTCGCAGAGCACTGAAGTATATTTTGCTAGGTAAAATTTTCAGCTCACATTTCCATAATACAAATTTGTGTATACAAAAAGAAAGTGAGTAGATTTATTCTGCATGAATAAATTGAAGCCAAAAGACTAGAACTTAGAAGATTGAAGTTGTTTAAAATGTGCGTTTGTATGCATATGTGTATTATCTTAGCTACTATAGAAAGTTCTTGGTTTCTAAGATAAGATAAAAAAAAGGAAGCTTCTCTTTGAGCCAAAAATCCCTCCAATCGTTTTCAGAATTCTTACACATCCATTACTTCCTGGTAGAGAGAAAACAAAAGAAAATTAGAAAAGTAAAGAGAACATGGGGAAAGCCAGAGATGGAAAGGGTAAGACACACAAAAGCTTTCATAGTGTTCAAAAGGGGTCAAAATATAGGCTGAGCTTGGGAACTGCTTGTACCTCTCCCGACCACAGACGCTTTGTGTGATATTCCCATTCATTTTTGTTCTTCAGGGTCTTATCAGATGTACTTTGAAACATCAACAACTAAAAGTGATAGGAAAGTAAATATAGAAATAACAATTTCAAAAACCCATATTCTTCCAGGAATCAGTTATGTGTTAGCTGAGAGTTAAGGCTGTACTAGATTCTGCTGTTGTGAGAACAAATGTTTCTTAACTAAAAGAAGAAATGGCAAACTGAGTAACTGGGGCCCCGGGCTCCAGGCGGGTTTTCATTCAGGAGCCATCTTAATCACAACAGATAATTTCCATGTTACTTGCAGTAGAACTCTGTTCAGTGTCTTCCTTTCCTCTGTAGGCTCATCCATATTCTGTATTGCTATTTGGTGTCCCGGTGTTTAATAAATGTGAAGTACCTACTAAAAACGTTTTGTTTTGAATCCATCATTCTTTTTTGCTTGATATTTATCCTTTTTTTTTTTTTTTGGAGATAGAGTCTTGCTCTGTCATCCAGGCTGGAGTGCTGTGGCGTGATCTCGGCTTACTGCAACCTCTGCCTCCCAGCCGGTTCAAGCTATTTTCTTAGCTTCCCAACTAGCTGAGACTACAGGCATCTGCCACCAAGCCTGGCTAATTTTTGTATTTTTATTAGAGACAGGGTTTCATTATATTGGTCAGGCTGGTCTCAAACTCCTGACCTCGTAATCCACCCGCCTTGCCCACCCAAAGTGCTAGGAGTACAGGCATAAGCCACTGCACCTGGCCTATACATGTGTTTTTTAATAACAGAGGAGTGGGAGGGAGAAATAAAGAAGAAAATTATTAACTTTAGGTTGAGACTCATTAATAACGGATGGGCTGTGACCAGTGATGTGTTGATATAACTTCAACACTGAGCTCTAAAACAACAGTCCTAATTTGTAGAGTTTTATGATTTCCATGGTATATAAATTTAATAACTCTTCCCTTATAAGTGATTCCAACCTATAAATGTAATATCAACTGGCTTTCAAAAGTCGTGAAAAGTTAACAAACTATTTTTGAAAATAATCACAGGTAGTTCCGGTATAACACTGGCTGCAAACAATATTTTTAATGAAAAGCAAATTAGAATAGAAGAAAATAGGTAATATCAAAATACATTGCTTGCACCAAGGCTAAGTATAGCCTCATGAAGTTTTATTTTCAGATATGTCTCTGTGTATGTGTGTGTGTGTGTGTGTGTGTTTATATATGGTGGTAAACTGTGTTTCACTGAAATATTCCTTGTTTAATTTCTTCATTTACATTATAGTAATGAAAATTGTGAGTTTTCAAGAAGAGAGTAGTTATATCAGGTGCAGTTATGAAAGCAAATTTGTCAGTGCCTTTTCAATGAACTTTTATGTTTCAAAATGTAATCACCCTGCTGTGTTCTAGTGAGGATGACAGAGCAGTTGAGCATCCTGTATGCTTGCTGCCTTCCACCATTCACTCTGCCTTTATTTCCCAGTACTAGTAAAGTCATGTCCTTCAATATCCAGAATTTCACAGTAAGCTACAGATGAGAACACTGAGCCTGGGAGATTTAGTGGTTTACCCTAGATTACACAAACAGTTATAAGCACAGGACTAGAGCCCAGCTCTCTTGATTTCTTATTCTGTGTTATTGTTTATCGAACTTTTTTTTTTTAGATTTGTGACATTTTAACTGGATTTTTTTTAAATAAAGATTTTCAAAATTCAAACTTGTACAAATCAATGAAGTAAAAATAAAAATAATCACTGAAGTAAGAATAAAAACTCTCTCCCGCCCGATATGTTCCCATTCAGGAATCAAAGTGTAAACAGAAACCTTTGCTGATTCAGGCAATTATTCCTGCCTTGGATATTAGCCAGCATTTAATTGAGCCTGCATGTCTGTGTATATTCAATATATGGAAACTTTTGTACCTAATCTTTCTAGAATGACCATGAAATCACATATAAAATTGTCTTTTATTTGGGAAAAAAAACCTGAGCCTATAAAAACAAATAGGGTATTTCAATATCCCTTAAGAAAGTTAAAAGAGCAAAAGAGCAACCCCACTGGGGATCCACAGTTAGTACCTGTCTGGAAGCTCATGGATCTCAGTTCTCTGCTCCAATTCTCTTGACAGCAGAAGCAAACTTACATATGAATCAGATATCTTAACCCTCTACACTAAACTTTCCGGAATTTCCCAATATTGTACCTGCAAAGCCACCAGAAGAGGGTCAACGATTCACAACTAACTTTTCAGGAAAAAGAAGGTACTGGGTCAATCAAAAAAATTGGAAATGTTCTATTATTTTTAAATTATTGCTGATTTTTTCTCTTCTTCAAAATAATTGAATAGCAATAGTTGTATTTTATAAAGAATCAGAAATTGTTGAAATGGGTTGTAACTGAGAAGGTAGGTTTTAACTTAAAGATAATTATTATGATATTCTGGTGAAAGAAATGTCTTAAATTTTCTATGAAAATTCATTTGACAAGGTTGGTAAATTTCTATATAGTGGCATATAAAATACTTCTGCAAAGCATAAAAACTATGCAAGACATGATTCAGTAAATTCAGTCAGAATTTAAAGGACAATTATTTATGATATTATCCAAATTTGTGTTCAAATATAGTTAGGTATTTCAAAGATGCTAAAATGCACTTTCCTCTTTGGCATTATATGTCAATAATAAAAATACTTGTTACATACTGCTTAAATCTGATTCTACGTATTTTATTTTTATATCCCTTTGCAAGTAAATACTTGCAAGCAGTATTTACTTCTTAAGTAAAGATAGCAAGATATTCACTTGCTTTCTGTTTCTCAAAACTATTCCCCCACTTCAGATACAAGGAGTGCACAAACTGAAAACACAGTCTCTCTAGAACAGTTCTTCTCAAATTCAGTGGGCATAAAAATAACATAGGTATCTTGCTAATACGTATGGCGAGGGTTTATTAGCTATCTTATAAATAGCATTTGCCATTTTCCTAGTATTTTAATCTTTCCCAAACCACATGTCTCTAATACCATGAGACAAGATGCCCGTCCATTAACTAGGTTTTCATGATGTGTTAGAATGAACTTCTTTCCACTTAATTCAGCAAGAAGTTACTGGTAACCTGCCACGTATATGGCTCTGTGTTAAGTGTTGCAAGGATTAGCAGGTTAAATGGATGTTGTCTCACTTCCCAAGTAATTTACAGTTAGGAGAAGGTAGTGTACTAGAAGAAGAAAACATAGGTATTTGAAATCGTGGTCACCTGTAAGATAAGGGAGTGGAACCACCTGTCCGGAGAACTTCGGCCAGCCTGATGGTCTATAGTTAGATTAACTTCAACTGAGAGTGTCTTCTGGATGGAAATGATATTCGTGCTGAGCCCTGAAGAGGTCAGAGATGAAGGAATGGCAATTGGATGGAGGAAAGGGAGCTGTCCAAGCATTGGATGGGCACTTATATGACAACATAGGGACTACAGTGTCTAAAGGTGGCTGAAGTATTGCAGACTGAAGGGAGAACAGGCTGCAGCCAGGGTTTCCTTGCAAACACGGGCTGAAAAGACACACTTGTCACATACATGCAAGACCATGCTCTGTTGTTCTAGCCAAGGTGTGTTTTCCCAGACTCTTTTCCTTTTATCTACCAAAAAAAAGCAAATTAGCCTTGGTGAAAGATTTATTTAGAATAATTCCTCTTGCCCATCCCTCTAGCAACAAATTCTCTTATATTTTGTTTTAGTAGAGATTCTTCTCTTCTGCTTGTTTTTGCATAATGCTATGGTTTATAGCTAATTATAACACAAACATTTTAGTTTTCATTTTCACTCTCCTTTCTTCCCTTTCTCTCTGAAATAGAAGTAGCTCTTCCTGTTCTCTGTGTGTATTTTCTCTCAATTAAAAATTTTTTCCTATTCCCAGCTACTTTTCAGAAGAAAATATTTTCAAGGCATCATCTCTGCCCATTGCCAAATGTCATGGGCTTTTGGAAGACTTACTGGTGAACTGTGAGTGATTTAGGATAAATACATCATTTATATGATAGATAATATTGTTTACTTTTTGACATTAGGATGTATAAACTACTATATATCATTGTAAAGTAGATTTATAAGAGAAATATTTGCCTTCTGTTTATCTTCAGTTTTAGTGCTACCTTTGAATGTAGTCTACTTATTGTAAATCCTGAAATGGCTTCATTATATACATTCATAATATTCATTATGGTTTATATTAGAGAATTAACCAGAAAAAATCAATATTATGGATTTCTATAAATGTCAAATTCTTATTTATCTTTTCTATAATAGCACACATCCCATGTATACATTTGTAATAAGATGTTAGTCTAAATTATTAAAATTACTCATGAAATTGTGCTGTCAACTTCAGTTGTCTTCATTTTAACAAGTTTAATAAAAATTAACAGAAATCTTCCTTTTAGTTGAAATTTACTTTTAGACTAAGAATAATTCTGAAAGTTATAAAAATGGAATATATGTTTGAGAGTTTGTGACTTAAGATCAGTTTTTAATGAATTACATAAAAATTAGCATAATTTTCTGACCTATAGTAAAATAAATAATTGCTGATGTTAGCTATAGGTCCTAAATTATTAGCATAATTTTCTGACCTATAGCAAGAGCAATCATTGCTAGTGTTAGCTCTAGGTCCTAAAATTGGTATTCGTTTTGATATGACACTCTTTCTTTTACCTGGAACACCACAAATAGGCATTCAGAAGAGCCTATGTTTTGTGGAAGCTAGTTTGAAATGACATGTGGTTCTGCTTAGCAGTTACCTAATTAATCTGCTAAATTTTAGACTTCAGTCTTAAATTCCAAGAGCCCTAGGGCAGTCAGAATTTAAAGGACAATTATTTATGACATTATCCAAATTTGTTTTCAAATGAGAGTCCTTTAAAAATTTGCTTCTTTGTACATTTCATTTGAGTTCATATACTGAGGAAGTGGCACACTAATTGCTCCTATATTCCTTTTCTGCTCTTTCTTATCTGTTTTCCCAACAAAAAGAAATGAAAGTAAATTATAATTTAGATTGATTTATATGCTTGTACGTACATACATAGGTGGCAATGGCAATTGTAAGTTCCTTACCCAAGTAGGTAGGTCCTAGAAGAGGAGAACATGTCTCATGACAATAGTGACATTTTTATTTGGTGCCATGTAGAGCACATATACAAATGTGTGCCTCCATGGTTGGAACCGTGATTATAATCTACTCAGGTTATTTTGTATTCATCCTTGAAGGCTATGAAAATTAGATTCCTAACTTGTGGCTGCTGTTAAGTCATCTCTGCCTCCTATTAAAATGAGCGTGTCCAGACTATCAAAGATTCTCTTCAGCAAGCATTAACTCCATGATAAATTGCATTGCAAATCTAACTTTTTCCAAATGTATGTGGCTGGAGATATGTCAACCTTAGCAGTCAGTGCTTAAAACTAAAACTTGGCTGGGTGTGGTGACTCATGCCTGTACTCCTAGCACTTTGGGAGTCCAAGGTGGGCAGATCACAAGGTCAGGAGCTCAAGACCATCCTGGCCAATATGGTGAAATACTGTCTGTATCAAAATACAAAAAATTAGCCGGGCATGGTGGTGTGTGCCTGTAGTCCCAGCTACTCAGGAGGCTAAGGCAAGGGAATCGCTTGAAACCAGGAGGCAGAAGTTGCAGTGAGCTGAGATTGTGCCACTGCACTCCAGCCTGGCCGACAGGGCAAGACTCTGTCTCACAAAAACAAAACAAAACAACACATAAAAACTAAAACTTGAGGGAAAGAAAAGGTCCTAAGGGGAAATTATTTGTAATTATTAATATTTGAATATTTGTAACTTAAAAAATGACAATTTCATAGAAACTCTGTGATTCAACATAATAGATGACATAAAAGTCTAAAAAAATTAAAGGAGCTACCATAATTTTTATGAAGAAAAGCAGGAAGGAAGGCAGGAACAATGCTAGTGACTGCAACGATCTGCATGTCAACTTCAAACTTATAAACATGATATGAAACAGTGAAAGCTTATTTGCAAATCAGTTAGTTGGAAATTAGAATACAGTTTTCCAAAAGAACATTGTTGGTGTGTAAAGCTGGTTATTGTGAGCCTCGTTTCTTACTAGAAAGATGCCCCACTATGGGATGCTAAGATAATGAGGCTAGAAATGGCACCACATAATAAATCTTTGTAAATATTTCATTCATGGCCTTCTCCAGTTCTAAAATATATGAATTTTTCCTTATGTATATAGGAAGTTGCACATGTGGAAGATTTGATCTCATGTTGAAACATCTTACAGAATCTTCCCAATACTTAAAACATGGGACAGTTACTTATATGTAAGACCTATATGAGGTTGCTTATATGTCGTGACTGCGATCAGTAAAGTCATACGGATAACTGGGCTGTGGCAGAGTCTCCTGTGTAATTATAAATGTTAACTGCATATGTTATATTGTATAAGTTTAACTGCAAGTCTGTGTTCTCCAACAAAGTATTTCCTTTATCTTTGAGAGAATGTGAGTTTCAACTGAGAAAATCCCCAGCTCCTCTAATTGGTAGATAAAGTGTAAGCGTTACATATGGGACTGAAAAGAGCCAAGGCAACCCCATCTTAACACCTCAGCGGGACACTGAGGGATGTCATGCCACCAGCAGTAGCACCTCCAACTGTATTTAGCTGAAATACTCACCACTTTTGTTTGCTTCTATGAACACCATCTAACTCTGTCCAGACTCAGAATCTCTGGTTTTCTCACACCTACAGGATCAGTAAATACGTCTATACAAAATCTCTCAGCTCCTGTCTGAATGCTACTTTGGAGGGATTATTTTATTTTATTATATTATACTTCAAGTTCTGAGATACATGTGCAGAACATGCAGGTAGGTTACGTAGGTATACAAGTGCCATGGTGGTTTGCTGCACCCATCAACCCATCATCTACATTAGGTATTTCTCCTCATGCTATACCTCCCCTAGCTCCCCATTCCCCCAACAGGCCCCAGTGTGTGATGGTCCCCTCCCTGTGTCCGTGAGTTCTTATTGTTCAACTCCCACTTATGAATGTGGACATACAGTATTTGATTTTTTGTTCTTGTGTCAGTTTGCTGAGAATGATGGTTTCCAGCTTCATCCATATCCCTGAAAAGGACATCCTTTGAGTTCATTCCTGCAAATGAACTCATCCTTTTTTATGGCTGCATAGTATTCCATCATGTATATGTATCACATTTTCTTTATCCAGTCTATAATTTATGGGAATTTTGGTTGGTTCCAAGACTTTGCTATTGTGAACAGTGCTGCAATAAACATATGTGTGCATGTGTTTTTATAACAAAATGATTTACAATCCTTTGGGTATATACCCAGAAATGGGATTGCTGGGTCAAATGGTATTTCTGGTTCTAGATTCTTGAGCAATCACCACACTGTCTCCCACAATGGTTGAACTAATTTACACTCCCACCAACAGTGTAAAAGTGTTCCTATTTCTTCACAGCCTCTCCAGCATCTGTTGTTTCCTGACTTTTTAATGATCGCTGTTCTAACTGGTGTGAGATGATATCTCATTGTGGTTTTGATTTGGATTTCTCTAATGACCAGTGATTATCAGCTTTTTTTTCATGTGTTTGTTGGCCACACAAATGTCTTCTTTTGAAAAGTGTCTGTTCATATCCTTCTCCCACCATTGATGGTTTTTTTGTTGTTGTTGTTGAAGTTCCTTGTAGATTCTGGATATTAGCCCTTTGTCAGATGGCTAGATTGCAAAAATATTTTCCCATTCTGTAGGTTGCCTGTTCACTCAGATGATAGTTTCTTTTCCTGTGCAGAAGCTCTTTAGTTTAATTAGGTCCCAGTTGTCGATTTTAGTTTTTGTTGCCATTGCTTTTGGTGTTTTAGTCATGAAGTCTTTGCCCATGCCTATGTCCTGAATGGTATTGCCTAGGTTTTCTTCTAGAGTTTTTATGGTTTTAGGTCTTTCCTTTAAGTCTTTAATCCATCTTGAGTCAACTTTTGTGTAAGGTGTAAGGAAAGGGTCCAGTTTCAGTTTTCTGCATATGGCTTGCCAGTTTTCCCAACACCACTTATTAAATAGGGAATCCTTTCACCATTGCTTGTTTTTGTCAGGTTTGTCGAAGTTCAGATGGTTGTTGATGTGTGGTGTTATTTCTGGGGGCTCTGTTCTGTTCCATCAGTCTATATATCTGTTTTGGTAGGAGTACCATGCTGTTTTGGTTACCATAGCCTTATAGTATAGTTTGAGATCAGGTAGAGTGATGCTTCCACCTTTGTTCTCTTTGCTTAGGATGGTCTTTGCTATATGGCTCTTTTTTGGTTCCATATGTAATTTAAAGTAGTTTTTTCTAATTCTGTGAAGAATGTTAATGGTAGTTTGATGGGGATAGCATTGAATCTATAAATTACTTTGGGCAGTATGGCCATTTTCACGATATTGATTGCCCTTTCTTATTTCCTTGAGCAGTGATTTGTAGTTCTCCTTGAAGAGGTCCTTCACATCCCTTATAAGTTGTATTCCTAGGCATTTATTATCTTTGTAGCAGTTGTGAATGGGAGTTCACTCATTATTTGGTTCTCTGTTTGCCTATTATTGGTATATAGGAATTCTTGTGATTTTTTCACATCAATTTTGCATCCTGAGACTTTTCTGATGTTGCTTATAAGTGTAAGGAGTTTTTAGTCTGAGACAATGGGGTTCTCTAAATATACAATCATGCCATCTGCAAATAAAGACAATTTGACTTTCTCTCTTCCTATTTGAATACCTGTGTTTCTTTCTCTTGCCTGATTGCCCTGACCAGAACTTCCAATACTATGTTGAATAGGGGTGGTGAGAGAGGGCATCCTTGTCTTGCGCTGATTTTCAAAGGGAATGCTTCAAGCTTTTGCCCATTTCGTATGATATTGACTGTGCGTTTGTCATATATATATATATATATATATATATATATATATATATATGTATATCTTATTATTTTGAGTTACATTTAATCAATACCTAGTTTATTGAGTGTTTTTAGCATGAAGGGGTGTTGAATTTTATTGAAGGCTTTCTCTGCATCTGCTGAGATAATCATGTGGTTGTTGTCATTGGTTCTGTTTATGTGGTGGATTACATTTACTGATTTGTGTATGTTGAACCAGCCTTGCATCCCAGGGAGGAAGCCAGCTTGATCTTGGTAGACAAGTTTTTGATGTGCTGCTGGATTTGGTTTGCCAGTATTTTATTGAGGATTTTTGCACCAATGTTCATCAGGGATATTAG